GCCTATAGTCCCAGCTACTTGGAAGGCTGAGGCAAGAGAATCACTTGAGCCCAAGAGTTGGAGCTAAGAAGCCACAACACTCGACCAGGGGTGACAAAGTGAGACTCTGTCTCAAATAAATAGATAAACAAATAAGGTAGTTACAGAAGGCCTAAGAAAGTGACATTTGAGAAAGGACCTGGGGCCAGGCACAGTGGCTCACTCCTATAATCCTAACACTCTGAGAGGCTGAGTTGCCTGAGCTTAAGAGTTCAAGACTAGGCTGACCTGAGCCAGAGTGAGACCCCCGTCTCTAAAAATAGCCAGGCACTATAGTGGGCACCTATAGTCCCAGCTACTTGGGAGGCTGAGACAAGAGAATTACTTAAACTTAAGACTTCAAAGTTGCTGTGAGCTAAGATGCCATGGCACTCTACCAAAGGTGACAAAATAAGACTCCGTCTCAACAACAAAAAAAATCTGTTATTTTCTACAGTTACTACTTCTTCCTATTTATATATATAAAAAGAAAAAAAATATATATATATATATATTTTTTTTTTTTTTTTCTGGAGACAGTCTCACTCTGTTGCCCAGGGTAGAGTACCCTGGTGTCATAGCTGACAGCAACCTCAAACCCCTGGACTCAAGTGATCTTCCTGTCTCAGCCTCCAGAGAAGCTGGAACTATAGACACATGCCACCACGTCTAGCTTATTTTTCTATTTTTTTGAAAGATGGGGGTCTCACTATGTTGCTCAGGCTGTTCTCAAAATTCTGGCCTCAAGTTACCATCCTGCCTAGGCTTCCCAAAGTGCTGGGATTACAGGTATGAGCTGCTGTACTCAACCTGTGTGTATGTGTGTGTATATGTATATTATTTTTTCCCCTATAATAGTTTCATCCTGGCTTGGCGCCTGTGGCTCAAGTGGCTAAGGCCAACCACATACATCTAAGGTGGCAGGTTTGAATCCTGCCAAACAACAATGATGGCTGCAACCAAAAAATAGCCAGGCATTGCGGGCGCCTGTGGTCCCAGCTACTTGGGAGGCTGAGGCAGGAGACTCACTTGAGTCCAGGAGTTGGAAGTTGCTGTGAGCTGTGATGCCATAGCACTCTACCCAGGGGAACAGCTTGAGGCTCTGTCTCCAAAAAAAAAAAAAAAAAGTTTCATCCTAAAGGAATACTTATGTTTTAAATACCTGGGAGCCGGCTCGGCACC